CTTGGCTTTATCCTTTGCAAAGTCACAGCTCGGTGGCTCCAGATCTCCATCGATTAATCTTTCTGGCTTTCAGGATGGGCATGGCAGGGTGGGGCACCCAGAATTAGCAAGGAAAAAATTAGATCCAGTAACGAGACAAATGTGCTCTGAAACTAAAATATACTGCTGAACTTTACTGCCTGGAGTTGGGGTGTGTGTGTGTGTGTGTGTGTGTGTGTGCACGCACGCTATGCTGCATGCTGTGACCCATAGTGAACAATGCCAAAGCGCTCCTTGTCCTCATGGAGCATACCACCTGATGGGGAAGCGAGGCATCAACCGAGCATGCTAGACTTTGGACACCATCACAGATAGCACCCTGATGTTCTTTTGCCAACGGAGAAATGAGGTGCTAGTATCCAACAGATAGAAGTGAAAAAATACCAGTTTTGTTAGTGACAAAACTAAGTAGAAAGGCAGATCCATTCTGTACCCATCATGAAGATCCCCAGTAACACTCCTTATACCCCACTTAGGCTCCTCCATTCAGTCAACTGATCAGGTGAATGAAGGAGGAGGTGAGTGAATGAAGGAGGGGGGTGAATGAAGGGAAAGAGGGTGAATGAAGGAGGTACCCACAAGGAGGAGTACCTTTGAGGGTTTGGACTGGAAAGATTGGCTACTTTTACTCAATGTCTCCTCAGAAACCACGTGGAGAAGAAGGGGGGATGCTGTTGACTCCAACACCTTGTGGTCGGGTGGAGGAAGAAAGAAACCAATTAAGAAGCCTCCTGGGTAAGAGGCACACGAAGGAGTGTTGTACCTTTGCCCAGCAAAGAGCTAGTTCCTGTATAATGTAGTGCTCAACACAGGGAGCTCACAAAGTCAGGTCTGGTGGGTAGATGGGCAGCCTGATGTCCACTGTGGGAGCCAAGGCAAAGGGACGTACATGCAAGAGGATGCCAGACTGTACGGAACTGAGGACTGAGTAAACAGGAGAAGCAGAAACAGAGAGTGATAACAGTGGCTTGGTGGGAGGCGGGGAGGAGGAGGGGTGCTGCTCTATAAGGAGAGCAGGAAGGTAAGACACTAGCTGCAGGGACAGGAAGTGATGGAGCAGGGCATGCATGGGAGGTGGTGGGGGTGATTTGGGCTGTAATGCTGACTCTGATTTTGTATGTCTTTCTGAATGTGACCAGTTGAGGGAATGTGTTACAGGTTCAGTGGGGTGATGGTCAACCCGTGGGAGGTTCGGGGGGTGGGCGTCCACCTGTCGCTCTGTAGAAGGAAGAAGTAGAGAGGAGATGCAGAGCAGCAGAGGATGCCTAGGTCTGCAGCCTGGGTGAGCTCTTCCTCCTGGATTGCAGGAGGAAGGAGATGCAGGAGAGCAGACCCAGGAAGTGCAGGTTGACCAGTGGGTGTGAGAGTCACAGAAAACTTTGGATTTTCTTGGAGAGAGAAGAGAGATCTTAGGAGAGGAAGGGGTTAAACAGAGTAATAGGAACAGAGTGGAGCTGGTAGATCTGTAGGAAAACGCTGTCCTGGACCACTGGTTCTCAACCTACGGGTCTTGACCCCCATAGGGGTCACATATCAGATATTTACATTACAATTTGTAACAGTAGCAAAATTGCAGTTATGAAGTCGCAATGAAATAATGTTATGGCGGGGGTCACCACAACATGAGGAACTGTATTAAAGGGCCACAGCATTAGGAAGGTTGAGAACCACTGTCCTGGATTTTCATAGACACATGGCTTGTTCTGTTTTTGTTTCCAAGGGCAAGAGGTTTTCAATATGATATGAATTTGGTGAATTCTTGAAGTGTTCTTTACCCTTCTGGATCTCGTACTTCCTCACTAACCCAGCCAAGGCTTTCATTAATTGTTTCCAGACTCTATAAAACTGGGAGCTTGGCGTGGAAGACCCACACTGTTCACACTGGACTGGAAAAGACACGTTTCCAAGGATGGTTATGTTTGGAGTCTTTCTACCAAATTTTAATGACCAGAATGTGTCAGCGTTTGGGTTCCAGAAACACATATTGATAGAATCAATTTATCTTCATGTATTTTCTCCTGGAGTGACCGAGGTGCTCCTCTGAGAGGCCTGGCTCCCTCCGTTTAGACATAGGCCGGGACTTCTCTCCCTCTCCCCCCTCTCCCCCCCTCTCCTCTCTTTCTCTCTCTTCCTCTCTCTCCCCTCTCCTCTTTCTTCCTCTTCCTCTCCCTTGTCACTCCCTCCCCATCTCCAAGAACTAGTACTAGTTATGTCTCCCCCTGCTGTTAGAAAATACCCAATGGTGGCAACCTAAGAGGGAAGAATTTACTTCCGTTTATGGCTTGACAACATGTCCATCAGAGCAAGGAAGGAATGGAGGTGGGAGAGGCTTGTTTCTGTGGAAGGAAGAACATGAGCCTTCTTGTTCACAACCTGGTGGGCCAAGAAGGAAGGACCGCTCCGGGGCCCGGGACTAGGTGAGAGGAGAGACAGTCAACTGAGCACTCTGCATGAGTATATCCATCTCTCTCTGCTCTTGACTGTGGATGTGACAGCTACTTCAAGTTCCTGCCGTGAGTTTCCCAGCGTGATGGGCTGATACCTGGAACTGTGAGCGAAAACAAGCCCTGTCTCCCCACTGAACTCTTTTTTGTTGAGTAGTTTATCACAGCAAGAGAAAAGAGCCTAGGGGCCCTGCTGCTGGCTTGTCTCCAGAGACCAACGTCCTTTTAGGGTTGCTTGTGTCTGATGACAGGCCTGTGGACTGTGAAAAGCAGGGCTAGTCTGCTGAGGGGTGGGGAGCTTGTGCATACCAGAAGTCTCATATCACCCTATGTCCCACCTCGGGAATCGCTGTCTTAGCTGATGTGAATAAGGCTGGCTAGAGCACCCCCTAACTACATGTTGACTACTGCTGTACTTCCCATAACTGTTCCCCAGTCCCATGGCCTCCCAAACATGCTACTCTGAGCTTGAGAACATTTGAAGAATCCCCCAGGACCCCAGCCCATTTTCTTCCCTAGAAACATACACAGTGTACACCATATAGGCCTTCCGTCCAAGATACCCTATTCACTGGAGTCTCTGAAGGGACACCTGAAGTTTCTGGACTGTGAATGCAGATTCTATGTCTCCACTACTAATGCACCCCTCGGCACTGCTCCGACAGCCATTCATTTCCATGGGAATTGGGGAGAGAGCGAGTCTGAGGTATGAGCTTGCTACTTTGAGCCAAAAGTAGAAGATGTTCAAGCTCCGGGTTTCTCTTCTGCATGGTGCTTTGGTTCAGGATGAGGAGGGGGTGTGGCAGCCAGGCTTGAGGCTCAACAGACACCCCAGGCAGCACCAGCCTGACCCATCTTTCACTTGGTGAATAGCAAAGACTTCTCCCGGAACATTCGAGCCTTGCCACATGGGGTGTGGCTCATGTCCGTGGTTGGAAACCCTAGATCTGTAGATGACTTTGCCCTTTCCCTGTGGTTAGAAAGGGTCCATTAAAGAAGAACATGAAGTATACCATGTCTTGGAGATGTAATTTTCCCACCCACAGCTAAGGGCTGATGACCAAAAACAGTTCCCTCAAGCCTAAGAAAAGACGGCCAGCCTGTGGGAACATGAGTCAGTGGTCTTGGCTTTGGGAAGATCTTCTTCTCCCACAGTGTCTGCTGGGGTCACGTAGCCCACTCTCTCTTCCACTTGAATTTAGTGGGACCTTGTGTCAGGAACTTACCCATGATGCAACATTCATAGGCAAGAAGTCTCTGAAAAGGTGAGTGGTATTGTGGGTGCAATGGTCTATTCTGTGGAGGTCCAGAGGCAAGGAAGGCAGTCTCAGGCTCAGACTTGGAGCAGCCCAACTCAGTCTTCCATTCTGGGGCAGAGTCTGAGTCCCAGACCTAATGCCCAGGCCCTCTTTCCAGTTATGTGTGGTTGCTTCTCCCTGCCCTGGTGTTCTCAACCTCCTATGACCTTGTTATGGACCAGCTCAGAGAGCCACAGGAAGTGGACCCAGCCTGGCTGGCTTACCTAGCCACAGCAGGGCTCACTCTGGTCATTTTAAATGAGTGGTCATCTTTGGGGTGATCCCACACTGTCCATTCCAGCTCTCAGAACATGAGGTCCTGGAAATTGTGTGAGGGATTTTGAGGCTAGGCCTCCTTAGGTCTGCTGACCTTCCCCTGCTCTCCAGGCCTCCTAGGCGGTTAGGTCACATGATACCGGCTCTGACCTTGGTCTGTGCTTCTGTCCCAGCTCTGGTCCTGTAACATCCCCCAGCCTGAGCTCCACCTTCAAACAGTGTCTCCTACCCTATGTCCCTCAGTCCATGACACTAAGCGTGTGCCAGGCCTTCCACAACAGGCCTTCCCTGCTGTCTTATAAGTCAGGTGACATCATTTGGTGAAGGGAAGACAGTGGAGATTTATAGATGAGGAACCATAAGCCCAGTGCCCACAGAACATGGTCACTGACAGGAATGAGTGCAGTGTGCCATGAGGTGAGGCCATGGTATCAGCAGGGGCAGCAATGACCAACTGGTGTAGCCTGCAGAGTGCGGGGGGGTGGGGGGGGATGGGCCAGGACCCTATGGTACTCAGATTGTCCCAAGAGAAGTGAGTGGCCTAGAAATTTCAGTGAAATCATCCCCTTTCTAGCTGACAATTCACTGGTGTTTCAAAGCAACACACACACACACACACACACACACACACACACACACACACACACACACACACGATCTGTTGACTGTAGACTGTCTGGCCCATGGGCCACCATTTATGAACTCTGCTCTGGATGGAGTTGTCTAAGAACAACAATAAAGAAAACACTGAAATTGCTGGCCGTGAGGGGCACTGAGGACTCACCAAGAGCTGGTGGCACCCTGGGTGTCCTCTGTGGACCTCCCTTTCACCATGGTGCTATCAAGTCTCTCCACACAATCAGTTACCATCCTCCTGCTTTGTTCAAGGACCTGGGACAAATGACTTTAAAAGGGGCTGAGGAATGTCCCCCAGATCACATACCTAGAAGTTCCGATGGATAGGCTCATCCTGGGCAACCCTGGCTGTCACACTGTACCTCCTTCATCATCTTCATGAGGCTGGCCAGGGAGTCCGTTCTCCTAAAACATTGGTAATAATATTGTTATTACCAATAATAATGCAATATTACCAATAGCAATAATAAATACACAAAAGTGCAAAGTGGCCCCTCTAAAGAGCTAGGGTCATATGCAACTCTTTTTTTTTTTTTTGGTTTCCAAATATTGCTTTATATTTTTAAAGCAAATTCAGTAGAGTTGTTTATTAGCAAGGGTCTCAGTCTACTACAATTCCCAGGTGAGAGGAAGAGCCGCCACTTTTGGAGCAGATTTTCCAACCCCTCCAAGGTGCAACTCCACGGTGGAGAATAAACTCTGTGTGTGTGTGTGTGTGTGTGTGTGTGTACATGCGTGCTTGTGTGAGTGTGTGCATCCATGTATGCATTTGCATATATGCAAACATCCAACCAACCCTGTGCTGTAGCTCTGTTTCTCAGCCTACTGTCACATCCCCCACATCCTCCACACCCCTGCTGTAGCTTGCTGGGGAGGCTCTCTATGGTTCTTCCATATTCAGTCAGAATGCTGGTAATAACTTTCCACCTTCCCTGAAACTGACTGTCTCAGGACGTTTCCTGCTCAAGTTCACTATTACAAGAAATACAAAATGAACCTCTGTGTGCTTATTTTCCTGTTAATGTGTTGATACTCAGATTTCCAGAGTGGAAATCCATGAGTAAAATATCATAGGCATCTATTTAATGTCATTAAATGTGTTGCAATACTCATTACAAAACTTCTGAAATGACTTGTTTTCCATCTAAGAGTGAATGGAAAGGCCATTGCTATACGTATATATCTTCCAGCTTTGGACAATGTCACTTAAGCACAAACCAAAAAGAGAAAGAGGGATCAAGCATTCTAATTTTTTAATTTGAAGATTTATTTTATTTTTTTCTTAGGTGTCTTCATGTGTGTGTATCTTTGTGGGGATATGCATCCATGAGTACAGGTACCCTTAGAGGCCAGAAGAGGGCATCAGAACCCCTGGAGTTGGAATTATAGGCAACATGGGTGCTGGGAACTGAACTCCGGTCCTTGTCAAGAACACTGTGTATGCACTCTCAACTTCTGAGTTGTCTTTCCAAACCTCAAATTTAATTTTTCATTATATTTTTAGTTATTTATTGGGGGCGCATGCTCCAGTATGCTTTGGAGATCAGAGGACAGTCTGAGGGTCAGTTCTGTACTTCCATCATGTGGGTCCCAGGGATGGAACTCAGGTCACCAGGCTTGGAAGCAGGTACCTTCACCCACTGAACTGCCTTGTCAGCCCAAGCCTTCTGTTTACAAACTGCGACTGCACAGTGCTCATCGTGAGAGAGATGGCCATTGCACCTTCCAGTGGGAAGTCCCTTGCCTGGTCAGTGGTTGTGGAACAGGCTGAATGGTCTTACAGGAGAAGGTTGGTGCCAGGAGTGCTTCAGGGCATGAAATTTACTTGGATTTCTTTTTCTCTTGAATTTTTGTGGTGCCATTATCACAATATTTTATTCATGACCTCTTTGACATAGATGATAGTGCAGAATGTGCTTTATAAAATACCACTGAGGCCGGGTGGTGGTGGTGCATGCCTTTAATCGCAGCACTTGGGAGGCAGAGCCAGGTAGATCTCTGTGAGTTCGAGGCCAGCCTGGTCTACAGAGCAAGATCCTGGACAGACACCAAAACTTTACAGAGAAACCCTGTCTGGAAAAAAAAACAAGATAAATAAAATAAAATAAAATAAAATAAAATAAAATAAAATAAAATAAAAAAAAATACCACTGAGCCCTTAGGTCACATGGCTTTGTTGCTTCACCAGAAACTAAACTAACAAACCAGAGGCCGGCAAGACGGCTGAGTGGATAAAGGTGTTTGCTGTATAAACCTGACAACCCCAGTTTGAGCCTCAGAACCTACATGAAGGTAAAGAGAAAGAACAGATTCTGCAACGCTGTCCTCTGACCTCCACATGTGTGCTGTGTCCCACACGTGTCCACACACACACACACACACACACACACACACACACACACACACACACACACACACCATGCCTTGCACACATATAATAATAATAAATTGAATAAGGAACTAACAAACTGACCATCCAAAGTTTGTTTAAAGGTTTCAGAGTGAAATGAGCTGGAAAGGAACCATGTTTCTGAGATGAGGAGTGAGGCCAAGCCATCCGAGCTCAATAGCGAAGACTGGACAGAGGTCAGGTTCAACTGACCACAGCAACCCTTGCCATGCTGTTTTGATTTGAAAAGAACTCAAGCTAACATTTATAGGAGTTCTTTGCGAAGACTGATCTGGAGGCTCACGCATGTGTGTGACCCAGGCATTTTCAGAGACGTGACTTGGAGCTTTTGCAGCTGGATTGTGAAGTGAGGCAGTTAGCATGCCGAGCTGAGACCAGCCTCATAGATTGTTAAGCCAGGACCACTTGGATCATTTAAATAAAATGTACATTGCCAACAGTTCAGAAAGAGCTAGTGAGTCAAACTCACCAGTTGGCAACAACCTTCATCATAAATGAACGTAGTCTAGAACCTGTCTTTTGAAAGTCACTTAAAACTGCAGATGCTCTCCATCCCAGAGCATTAATGAATGCTCCTTGCTCAAAATGTCATCACAACCTTTCATTGTTTTATGTTTCCATTACGCCACAAAATTCCCTCTAAAGTGACCCAACAGAGTTAAGGGAAATACTCCATGACCACTGATCACTAGGAAAAGATCCCACCTGCATTCTGTCTCTGGCAATTTACATCAATGAATGGTGCCAGAAAGCTGAGTGAATCTGGAAGGACCTTCCCACTATCCACGTGCTCTGGGTTCCGTTAGCGGGGTATTCCAGCCCCACTGAAGCTCCCATCTGCAGTTCCTGCCTGCAAATGGAGGTGGGAAGGCAGTCGTGGGTAGAATACCGTATCTGCTGTGTGGCTCCTGCTGAAGTTGCCTTTCCCAAGTCCGTGATGAGGAGACAGGGCCTCAGTACTAGCCCTTTCCTGGCTATAGGCAGACACCCAGTAAATGCAGAAAGGTTGTCTTCAGCACTGGTTTCCAGAGCTCACGTGACCTTCTACTAACTGTAGTTCTTGCCTACCATGTTAAAATACATTAAATCCACAGATGAAACATGAAGGGTCCTTTTATCTTGGGCTGAGTTCCTTCTGCTATGGAGTATTGAAAGCTCACCACTGTCTGAAGACACAAAGAAAGCCGACAATCACCCTGTGAAGGACACCTCTATGAAGCAGAGATATTTCAAGAAACAGAACAAACTTTAAAAACAGAAATCAGGGTTGGGGATTTAGCTCAGTGGTAGAGTGCTTGCCTAGCAAGCACAAGGCCCTGGGTTTGGTCCTCAGCTCCAGAAAAAAAAATTAAAAATTAAAAAATAAAAACAAAAAAACCCCCACAAAAACAGAAATCAAGGTTAAGAAATGTGAAAATATGGTCTAAATGATACTTGAAGATACATTGTTTCATTCTCATGACTATTTCACAGACCTGGCCTGCAACAAAAGGGAATTTTTAAGGTATGATTATAAATGAAGGTCAAAAGCAAAATACTTACGAGCTCAGAATAAATTAAATGTTTACAAAATCACTCTATTGTACTGAACTCACACATGAAAACATCACACAGCTGGAGTAAAGCAGCCCTTCCAACACTTACCCAGCTGCAAATTCTATATATCTTAATAAACTTCCATACAGTTAGATTAACCATTCTGAAGCCATGAAGCTTTGTTCATCACAGCAGAAGCCACCCTAGATATCCATCATCAGGTAAATGGACCATGAAAACATGGTACCCATATGAAATGCAATGTTATTTAGCTGAAAAGAACAATAAAATCACAACAGTTGTAGGAATATCTGGTGGACTTAGAAAATACAATATTAACCAAGGCTACCCAGACTCAGAAAGAGGAAACCCTCATGTTCTCCCTCATACGCAGATCCTAGCCTATAATGTGCATATACATGCACATACGTGGACAGCTGTAAGTGTGGGTAAAGTGTAACGTGTAGAAAGGACACCAAGAAAAGGTGATGTTGGGTGGTGAGGAAGGTTGGAAATCACGCCAAGGCTATGTGAGCTGTAAAAGAGAACATGAAACTAACTGATTTTCTAGTTTAAACTCTGTCGTAGATTTTATTTTATTTTATTGTGGTGGCTAAGTGCAGGAAAATACAGTTGATAGTGAGAGCGTACATCATATCCTTTCTTAGGATGGAAAGAGATTGCAAATAAAAGAAATCTAGAGCTGGAGAGATGGCTCAGCAGTTAAGAGCACTGGCTTCCCTCCTGGAAGTCCCAGGTTCAATTCCCTGCCCCCACATGGCAGCTCACAATCATCTGTAACTCTAGTCCCGGGGGATCCTGCACCCCCTTCTGACCTCCACAGGCACCAGGCCTGCAATTAGTACACAAAACAACCATATACATAAGCAGTAAAATACAATTCTTTCTTTCATTTTTTAGAAAAAGAAGAATCTAAGGAAAAGAGGCAGAGCCAATGAATCCGTGAAGTGCTGGGAATAAACCAGAACCATGTCATTAAGAGGCATGTCTCTGGGCCTCTCATGGATCAGCAAGCAAAGGCCGCTCATGGATCAGGGACCGGACTTGCATTCCTAGTCTAGTCTCACAGACTCTAGAGCTGCGGCTTTCAACCTGTGGGTCGCAAACCCCATGGGGGTTGCATATCCGATACTTACATTGTAATTCGAGCGGTAGCAAAATTAGTTACGAAGTAACAACCAAACTAATTGTATGGTTGAAGTCACCACAACATAGGGTTGCAGCATCAGGAAGGTTGAGAAGCACCGCTCTAGAACATAGGCAAGGCTCCCCCAATTCAGTAACAGCAAGACGGGCAAAACAACCTAAAACATTCTACAAGAAAGACTCCTCAGTGACCACCGTTTGCGAAGCCACTCGGTGCCCTTGATCACTGGGGCCCGGGCACAACCTGTGGCCTCAGATTTTTGACTAGCATTAAGAAGCAAACAGACAGCATCAAGTGTGGGTGAGGACGTGGGCAGAGACCCTTGCTCCCAAGAGCACCAACTGGTTTCACTGCCTTGGAAAAGCCGTTGGTTGGATCAAGGATTTGGAGTTCTAGAAGTGGACTCTTCCTGCTGTTTACTAAAAACATCTGGGGCTCTGTGACAGGGTGAGAACCGCTCTGTGAGAAAGCCAGGGCCCCACCAGGAAGCAGACAGTGCTACTCTCACATGAGGCTGAGCCGAACTGCCCTGTCCAGCCAGCCACACTCCCTTCCTTCCCAACAGGAGAGCAGCTACTTTGGGCTCTTTGGAGGGGAGGCCCTGCCTCCACCAGGGGCTGCTATAAGGGATTCTCTGGAGTGAGGCTGCCATGTTTTTGTCTCTTAGGGCTAGGGGACCCCAGGCAGACAGGCCTTGCTCTGTGGATATTCTGAACTGACCAGCTCTCTGTGCTGGCACCGTCCCATGCAGTATCACTGGCCTCTGCCTGCTTGATGCCAAGAGCTCTTGCACTAGTAACTGGGACAGCCTCAATGTCCTCAGACATGGCTGGTGGTCCCTCAGAGAACAGTCACCCTGATGAGGAGGGCTGCTTTAGGTAGAGGGAAGGGAGGATTGCTCACTCTGCGGCACCACCTGTGATGGACTCACCCGGTATCCAGGGCGCTTTCCTCAGCAGCTACATTACAGGCAGGCGAGGACTGTGCAGGACATCTCACACAGCTGCTTCCTCTGCCCAGGCCTTCAGATCACCCGCAGGCCCCGCCCAGCGCTGAAGAACGGGCTTCCTGTGAAATTCACCAGAAATATAGCTATTTTCTTAATCTCTTTAAAAATCTGTGAGACCACTTGGAATTGAGGAAATAGACAGTTCTAGAATCAGATGGATGGAGTGCAATGTTCTGACTGTGCTGTTTCCAGCAGGAAGAGGTCAAGTTTCTGACCTCTGGGATTGGGGGTCAGATATGAAAGTGTGGAACATGGAGCATGGGCTCTTGTGGAGGAGGAAGAGGAAGGAAGAAGAGTGGAGGGGGGAGGAAGGAGAAGAGGAGGAGGAGCCCAGCACAGATGTAGCTCTGCCTTCAGCTCACACTCACGCGCTCTCTCGGGCTGTCAGGCTCTCTGCACCTCCCTCCTCGTGCACTCACGCAGGCACGCTGTGTCCCCACCTCACCACAGTGGATGGGAATGTCAATAAGGAGCAACCAGTTCCCTCACTGCCCTCTCTGTTAGCTTGTCCTCAGGAGCCAGCTGAAGGCAGAACTGGAGACTTCTGTAAACATCTCCTGAGGTAACAGAGGCTAGCCCAAGTAAACAAATAGGTGTGGCCCACAGAAGAAGGTGTTGTGGAGCATCAGGGCCCGGCCCATGAGGGCCAGGTGGGTGGAGGAGGCAACCGAGGTGGTCTGTGGAACCAGACCAGGATGTAAACCAGGGCTGCAGAAGTGACGTCATCAGGTGTCACTGGAAGGAGCATGTTTCAAAGCCTCTCCCAGAGAAGGCAATTGAGAGAGGTAATACAAGGGTGAGGGAAACAGGGATGCATGAGTGTCTTCATACAAGTACACTAAACCAGGCTGGCTTACACATACACAGGCACACACAGTGTCATACACATGCAGCCCACACACACATATACACAGACCCTCCACTCACCCACTCATTCCTATGCACATTGACTTAACACACACACACACATACACACACACACACACACTCACACATATGCACACACTCATGCACTCTCCCACAGTCAGACATCTGCCTTGCCCTCATGCAGACCACAGATCACACGTGTTTCTCTTCAGTTTCCCATCTGTGAGAAGTGCCAGCCTCCAGTCACGCCTCCCCCCCACCCCCGGCCCCCCTCAGGTCTCCAGAAGGAGGTACTGTGTGATTTGGCTCAGCTCTGCTCCATGTTGAGGCCACCTCACCCTGCCTTGAGTCACAGACTTGTTTGTTCAAACTTCAACAGGCTGGCCTTGTTTCAGGTGCTTTCTTGGGCAGCAGAAGACGGGAAGCAGAAGCAGGGAGCTGAAGGCAAGAGCAGAGGAATTCTTGACAAGTAGTGAAGAGGGAGGGCAGGGCCAGAGAAACCCAGGGGCTGCTTGTGGCCTGCCTGTGGACCTCTGGTGCCCCCTGCAGGTCAGGGGCATGCAGGTATCTTGGGTCTGATCTTCAGGTCTCTAGTTGAAGCCTGGAATACCTGACTGTGGAGGAGGGTGGGTCTCCATGGAGGCCACTGCTACTGATGGATTCCAGCGGGATGGGTGTCATGCCCTTTGAAGAAGACACGACCCCTACCAGGACCTCATGCATGCGCATAGCTGAGCGGACCAAGCGGAAAAGCATCTCTGGAGAGGGTTGTAACTGGTATTGTGGCACACACAACATCCTGGGAACCAGAGATTTCAGTGGACAAAGATACTGCCCTGAGACAGGGGAGGGCCTTCATCTGAGTGACGGCAGGACCAGAACAAGAGACAAAGCAGACAGTACTTTCTCTGCTTGGTTCTCAGAGAGTGTGTGTGTGTGTGTGTGTGTGTGTGTGTGTGTGTGTGTGTGTGTGTGTATGCCATCCGTGTGTGGAGATCAGAGGCTGACACCAGTGTCCTCTTCTGTTGCTCTCTATCTCACTTCTTGAGGTGGGGCCTCTCACCGACCCTGGACATCATTGTTTGGCTAGATGAGCTGGTAGTGAGGCCCCAGCACCCTCCTGCCTCTGCTTTCTGTCTGTGGAATCATTAGGTGGCCACCAGGCCTGGCTTTTTACCTGGGTGCCGGGCCTCATGCTTGCACAGGGTGTCCCAGGCCTGGCTTGTGAAAGGTAAGTTTAAAGGTAAGGGGATGCCTAAACAAGGTAGATGTCAGGGAGAAAGGGAGACTTCGAATGATGGTGTGTGTGTGTGTGTGTGTGTGTGTGTGTGTGTGTGTGTGTGTGTGTGTGTGATAGGAGGTGTTAGTGTGTGAGTGCCGGCCAGATTGTATGAGAGTGTGAGAATAAGGACCAGAAAGTGTGTGAGTGTGGATTAGAGTATGTATCAGTGTGTGTGTGGTATCTGGACAGAAGGAAGCAAGTGTGTCAGGGATATGTGGACAGAGGGGTGTGAGTGCACACGGGTGCATGGAGACAAAGGGTCAGTGTAGCTGGAGTTTTCCTGCCTGGCCCACAGTCAGGACAAATCTCTCTCACCAGCCAGTCCCACAGCTGCTCAGACCCAACCAAGTAAACACAGAGACTTATATTGCTTACAAACTGTATGGCCGTGGCAGGCTTCTTGCTAACTGTTCTTATAACTTAAATTAACCCATTTCCATAAATCTATACCTTGCCACGACGTGGCTTATGGCTTACCGGCGTCTTCACATGCTGCTTGTCATGGTAGCAGCTGGCAGTGTCTCCTCCCACCTTCCTGCTCTCTCAATTCTCCTCTCTGTTAGTCCCGCCTTTATTTCCTGCCTGGCCACTGGCCAATCTGTGTTTTATTTATTGACCAATCAGAGCATTTGACATACAGACCATCCCACAGCAGGTCAGCAACATCTTGTGTTCCCAAGAACCATGGTCTCTCATTTCAGCTCAGACAGGATCCGCAGAGCAGGCTCAGGCCTGTCGAGGAGTGGGGATCCCAGCAGCATCTGGACCAGCCTTTATCTCCAGACAGAGGCCCAGGCCAGGCTCAGACTCGGCTTCTCCTTCATAAGATCTATGGTAGACACAAAGGCCACTGCTGGGGGTGAGACATTTAAGGAGTGAAAAAATCACGAAACTTCCTTTTCCACCTGTGTGACTTTTCTCATGACTGTGTCCAAACGACCCCCCCATCCTCCTACCCCAGTAACAAGCAACGTAAGGGAGGAAAGGCTTATTTGGCTCACAGTTTAAGAGGGACACAGTCCGTCACAGTGGGAAGACATGGCAGCAGAGGCATGAGGTGGCTGGTCACACTACATTTGCATCAGGAGGCAGTGAGGTGAGTACTGGGGCTCAGTCACCTCCTTCTTCCTTGTTATGCAGTCTCAGCTCCCGATCCAGACCCAGAGGACAGTGCTGTCCACATCCAGAGCAGGGCTTTGCTCCTCAGTTACACCTGTTTTGAAAGTCCCCCACAGACCTGTCTAGAGGTGTTTCTCCTGGAATGATTGACAGTCAGTATTAACCATCACAGACCTACGGACACATTGCCATCAGAGAAGATTGCAAGCTTTCATCAGTAGGCTGGGCTTATTCATGTGCCCTCCTCTTGTTCTAGCAAAGGTCTGGAGGGTATTTACAGAAGTGTGTTCTAGAAAAAGAAAGTTAGTCACAAAGGCAGCATGGAAGGAAATCAAGGGAAGGAAGAAGTGGCCAACTTCAGGAGAAATAAAGAAAATTCTTGTGAACACCTGCTGGATTCTACTATGTTTGGCTCCGAGCTCTTTATGCCCTGGAAAAAATGGCAGAAACAACACTCAGGAGGCCACTGGAATTCACAAGACAGTCTCCAGACACAGAGACCTGAGGGATTTCTCATAGTGAGGAAAAGGATTCCTTATGTAAAAACATTAGTTGGTGTGGGAGACAGGTTTCTCTATACTTTAACAGAAAATATAGTACCATGTTCTAAGGCAGCTTCTCATGCTTTCTGCTCTGGGTTACAGTTCCCCCAAACAAGCACAGATCTAGAGTGGGAAGGTAGCCAGTCCCGAGAGTAGCCATGTTGGGCTTCATGGGGCTCAAGACTCAGCGAGGTCTTGGTGAACGCAGGTTTTGACTCAGTAGGTCTGAGGCTTCCAAGCAGTACCAGCTTGGAGTCAGGACACACTTTGGGAATCAGTTCTATAGAAACTTCCCATGACACTCGTTGTTCCAAACAGGGCTTTGGGTGAAATGTGGAGCACAGTGCTTAGAGTCACTGTTCTGAGGACAGAAAGCAGGGGGCTGCTAGCCTGTGCTGCTGTCAAGGATGAGCCACACACCCTTTGCCTGTGAAGGCCAAATTGATTGTCTTGAAGAGAAGGGTGGGCTGAGCCAGCTGAGGTCCCTCCTCTTCTCCACAGTGAGGAACTTGCCATTGACACCCAGCTGGAGTTCCTTTCTGCCAGTCATCAGCTGGGTGGGATACTTTGCTCAGGAATTGTGTGTTTTATTATTTTAAGTAGTAATATACATTTAGATTTTCTCTTCTAAGTTCATAAACTGCAAGTGTGCCCCCAGAATGGCATGTTAACACACTGGCTGATATTTCAAATCTATCTCCTTTCCTTAACCAAGTTGTCTTAGTGTGGGTTTCTATTGCTGTGAAGAGACCATGGTCACGGCAACTCTGATAAAGAAACATTTAATTGAGGGTGACTCGCTTACAATTTCAGAGGTTCAGTCCATTATCATCATGAGGGAGCATGGCAACATGCAGGCAGATGTGGAGCTGGCTACGTCTTGCAGGCAACAGGAAGTTGACTGACTGACAGACGCACTGAAGGAAGCTTGAGAAAAAGATCTCAAAGCCTGCTCCCACAGTGACACACTTCCTCCAACAAGGCCACATCTCCTAATAGTGCCACTCCCTTTGGGGGTCATTTTCCTTCAAACCACCGCACAGGTTCTGGCTCCAAATTCACCACTTTTTTTTCTATTTTGCCTCAATACTGTGTCTTGCCCAATAGTGATCGTGAACTGACAGTCATAGGACAGAGTTCTGGGAGTGAACCCTACCAACAAAGGAATGGTGTGTGTGTAGCCTGAGAGCATCAGGTCACGGTGGGTGGTGAGGGTCCAGTGTGGGCCCTGATGCCTGCATGCTGAGGATACCTTGCCTTCCACATAGCCTCAGCATCACGTCTTCCACATAGCCTCAGCATCATGCAGGCCTGTCTTTCCTGTGCAAGCCCTTCTGAAACCTGGAGAAGAGGGGAGTGGGAAGAGCAGAAAAGCTTCACTGGACAGACAGCAGCAGCCTTACCCCTACAGAGGGCAGAGTACCCAAGTGTGGAGCCCACATCATGTCGACAACCAAAAAGAACTCCAAATGTGGGCAAAAATAGGCAAAACCGAAGCACAGAGAGCCATGTTCCTGGATTTCCACTCAGATTATCTGTGAAATGGGTGGAAGATCCTGAATGATAGTCTAGCCAAAGCCAGGATTCTATAAAGAGGTGGCCAGCAGGTGTGAGGCTGACAGTGACTGGAGTCCCTGACCCATTCTCCCTTCATCCCAACCTCACAGGAAACCTACTCTAGCTTTTCCGCCAACTCCCGTAGCAGACACAGGACATTATGGATGGGTCCTTATCACCTTAGCCATGACCAAGCATTCCTCTCAGTGTCCTGAATTGCTCTTCCTGGAGACTGGGCTCAGGCACATGACTGGGAGAGAATAATTAAGTCCAGACTGGTCTTGGCGATTGTGCTCATCATGGGATTCATAAGTGGAAAAATGTCTGGTTCCTCTTTTCTCTCCCAGTGAAGGCTTTTCTACGACTCCACCCAGGAGAGAAATCAAAGCTTGACCTGGGATGCATGTGGTCTAGGGTAGGGCTGGTGGTTACACACAGCCTCTTCACCAAGACCAGCTCCTTTCTTGAAGAAATGTCAGAAACACAATCAGAACCTGCTTGCTTCTTGCTACCTCAATTCATCTGGGAGAAGGCTGCCAATCATTTCCATTGGGAACATTTCCTTACTAGCTTTAGCTTGTCTGTAGGTATTTAAATAAAAGTGCACAGCTGTCTCCATAGTGTTTTAAATGCTGCCTTTAAAACATTATAAGTTCAGAGGAAAGTTAGAACTTTGTTCAGCCACAAAAAGGTGATCAAATTACCTAAGGTTATCAATGCCATTGACAAGGCAAACACCTGTACCATGCTTTCTTTGGGGTCACCAACCAGCTCCCAAATCATGATATGGAAACTTATTATTAGTTATGAATGCTTGGCCTTAGCTTAGGCTCGTTTCTTACTATCTCTTATAACTTAACCCGTTTCTCTTCATCTACGTTTTGCCTCGAGGCTTTTTACCTTTCTTTCCTTCTGTATGTCTTACTTTCATTGCTTCTCATGTCTAGTT